AAAAAAAAAGATTAGCTGCTTTGTTAAACCATTGGGATAAGCCCAACACAGTTGTGGGTCACCATAGCACTTGGCATGGCTCTGTTAGTGATTTTTTTCCTTATTATACAAAAATTGCATGTTTTATATGTCAGTGTGCCTTTCAGACTGGGAGACCCTAAATACAGTGACTCTCTCTGGGTCATCTTTTAGCACCTTTCCCCAGAAAAGTGCATGGCAGGTAGGAAGCTACATACAAGTTTATAGACCAGTGATGGCGAACCTATGACATGTGTGTCAGAGGTGACATGTGAACTCATTTTTTTGGTTGATTTTTCTTTGTTAAATGGCATTGAAGTATATAAAATAAATATCAGAAATATAAATCTTTGTTTTACTATGGTTGCAAATATCAAAAAATTTCTATATGTGACACAGCACCAGAGTTAAGTTAGGGTTTTTCAAAATGCTGACATACCAAGCTCAAAAGGTTCGCCATCACTGTTATAGACTGACCAAATTAACAAATGAATATATTTTTAAAAATTTATCTTTACAAATATTTCCCCCTCTAAACTAAACTCTCCTTCATAAATCTTCTAGTCCCTTAGATGAATCAGTGACCTTCAACTTATTTAGTTGTAAACTTCATGAGAAACTATGTAAATTCTATTGCGCTTTAAGAAGACAGCTAACAATTTCATTATGAGTTTAATATTTTCAAAATATGATGTTTAGATCATATTATTTATTATGCATTTGCTCCAAGCATTGAAGCTGTGGATTTAGTTTATTCAGTTTATGCAAATATTTAATACGCAAATCTAAATTTCATTCTTAAACCCACTCAGAAAAATCCCATTTTATTTTTCAGTTCAACTCACCATGCTAATATAAAATGGGAAGCTCATTATTTCATCCAGGGAATAATTTCACAGAAAACCCAGTGACTCTATCTAGATCTATCTATTTTATCTATTTATTATCTATCTATCCGTCTTTTATTCATCTTAAAAATGTACTCCAGAGAGAGAATGAGTAGGTGTGTTGTTGAATAATTGATCAGCAAATGCTTTTCTTGATGTCAATGGCTTCTTGGAGAGGCCTTTACAGGAGTTTGCTCTTCCAAAGCATGCTTAAGTTTGAGGCTGTGTCAAAATTTAGGGTGTTTGTATGGCAGGGTGGAGGCAAGAACTAAAGTTTGATCCAGTCAGCATGTATTTTTTGTCCAGATTATGCAATTATCTATTTGTTTAGGAGGAAAAAGGTTGTTATTTCTGTTGCAAACAATTCACCCTGAGAGATTTGGGGCCGATGATGTATAAAAAACTTCATTTAGTGGAGTGAAGCAGAGGAGGAGAGGGAGTGGGACAGGAGCCATGGTGAACCAAGAGGGGAGTTCTCAGGCCAGTGCACCTGGAAGTGATGGCAGTGGATGCTTCCCCTAGTGCTCTCCTTGCCTCTGTCCACCAGGAAGCCCTCATGTTCCCAGGTGGAAGATCCTTACCTTGGGGAGAGTTTAATGTGATTCTTTCCTTCCTTCCAGGTTTTGGAGTTTGAATTGACTCCAGAAGACATGAAAGCAATTGATGGCCTGAACAGAAATTTCAGATTTTTTAAATTGCCATTGTAAGTGACTTGTAGATTGTTTTTCCTGGGTTCTTTCCTGTAATGTGTAGGTTAGTAGAGGGACTCAGCTTCCTTAAATAGGAAAGATGGGCCTGATTTCTACTACAGAAGTAAATCTGGAGCTTCCTGGTGACCTCAGACCACAGGTTTACTCCAGGTTCAGTCTCTGACCCAAGAGAAGTGTGAGCAGGGCCTAGGACAGACCATAGGTAAAATGGCCCAAGTTTGCATCATGGTGAATACATGACTTTTATGCCCTAATTCCTGTGCCTGGCATACATACTCCCACTAAGATCTGATTTACCCATTTGACATAGAAAGCTCAGTGCTGACTTCCCACTATACTTTAGGGGTACTAATCCTATATAATAATCCTATATAAAAGAGTAATATGCAAATTGGCCCTAACTGCAGAACCACTGGGAATGACCAGTCACTATGATGCACACTGACCACTAGGGAGCAGACGCTCAATGCAGGAGCTGCCCCGTGGTGGTCAGTGTGCTCCCACAGCGGGAATGCCATTCAGCCAGAAGCCAGGCTGACAGCTGCAAGGGCAGTGGTGGTGGTGGGAGCCTCTCCTGCCTCCTCAGCAGCACTAAGGCTGTCCAACTGCAGCTTAGGGGAGTGGGCCTAAGCCGGCAGTCAGACATTTCCTGAGGGCTACCCGGCTGCCAGAGGGATGTCTGACTGCCAGCGTAGGCCCTATCCCCTGGGGAACAGCCCTAATCCAGTAGGTAGACATCCCTCGAGGGGTCCCAGTCTGTGAGAGGGTGCAGGCTGGGCTGAGGGACCCCCTGAATGCACGAATTTTCATGCACCAGGCCTCTAGTCTAAAAATAAAAGGTGATTCAAAGTAAGAGGGAACAAGTACCTGTTGAGATCAATAAGAATAGCTAATGGGAAAACATTAATTTAGATAGAAGCCCCAATAATGTTCATATTAGGAGACAGGGGCATTGGTTATTTATAAGAAAGGGAAGGGGAACAATAATAACATCTCCAGCCCTGACTGGTTTGGCTCAGTGGATAGAGCATCAGCCTGCGGACTGGAGGGTCCCAGGTTCGATTCTGGTTAAGGGCATGTGCCTCGGTTGCAGGCTGCGA